AACAAAAATGAAATACAAAAGCTACACTTTTTTATCAAAACTAACTCTAATTTATTTACACGTTAAATGTAATTAAAATGTAGCAGGCTATTAGGACACAGTATAATCACGCTTTCTGAACAGCAATGGACAAAATTATTTACAAGTTGTAGGCCGATATGTGCTTCTTATCTATCAAGGTTTGCAGTCCACAGTAAAGGCGGATTACCTAGTTGAAAAACATTATAACAAAGACAAGACTATTTACAAGCTATATATTTTGATGATTATAGATCAAGGTCTGCAAAGGCACTTTTTGTTGAGTTTAACATGTATTACAAGAGACAACAAGGTTACAGGGCTAACAGTACATAGCATATTCAAGCTTTCCGAACAACAATGGAGAACATCATTGACAAGTTATAGTGTAGTGGAAGAATGAGAGAAGGTGATACTTGCGACTAGCGACTGGCTGGTGTAGGAGCACAGCGTGAGCACAGCGTGATGACTCAATCCCGATTTATGGCATTGTTTGAATGACAGACCATCTGTGGGCTATCACAGGGGTCAAACACATCTTATCTGTGGAAATCTCGATGAAGAGACATCCTAGGGTCACTGAAGCCAGGAGACGTTGTGAGGGAACATTTTGTTGTCTGAAGAGATAGCGTTGAATTGTACACAGCATCTCCTCTCCCTCTATCTTGGTTCGTGCAGGTGACTGTGACCTCCTCCTCAGACCAATTGGCAGTACGCCGAGAACATTGTTCTGGGAACCAAAATGATATCTCAGTTTCAAGGTCTCAGCTTGGAGAGGAGAAGCCTCATCAAGTATTGGTCAGTCACATGCAGGAACCAAACGTTAATTATGAATTAATTATGAATAATGAATAATGTAAATCATGCAAATATAACTTGTCTATGTAAGCAGTATATAAGAGAACTAATGGAACTGCCCCGGCAGAGCTCCCGACCGACGTGTACTATGGTGCATTAAGTTTGTTGGAACCACTCCAGCTTGCTGATAATAAAGAATGATTCATTTAAGTTTGACTTTGAGTCCCTGGTGGTAATTTCCATGACAAGGTGAAGACTGATGAAACTTGAATCGAGGAAATGTATGTTCATGTGTGAATTAAATTGTCATGTTTGGATTGTTTCAAGAGTTCATAAAGAGCTATGAATTTGTATATGCTTCATTGTACTAATGTAAGTGCTATGGCTTTATTGTTACAGAGAAACTGTGTTATTCTATTTGTCGGAGGGTGGATAGTTCAAAGAGGAGCGACACAGGGGTGCGCCAGTATAATTTAGATCCAAGAATTTGTGTGTTGTTTTCATGCCTTTGTTTTAATGTTTTGGGCCATACAAAGTGATTAGAGGATAGGAGATACTCGGAGTTGGCACTCTTGGAAGAATAAAAGCCGGGTTTAGACTTAGATCATGGAGTCATTGGTAAACCGATCTCCTGATGCACGTTAGTCTGTCATAGTGGGGAATTTTCTATGCTGTTAAGACTTATGATATTTTGTATTATTTTTATTGTTAGATTTCTGGTATGTACCATTTGTTAATTGTATTCTTATTGCGTAACTGTAATACATCAGATTATTTTAAATGGTTACGATCCATAGTCCTCACATTTCTGAGTAATATTCCTTGAATTATTATTTGGTGAAATGTCTAATGGTAAATGTTACTCACAAATACATAGCATATATGCTCGGTCTCTAACTGTGCATCTCTGAGCTAAGGGTAACTCAATCATTTAATGCTAGGACATTGATTGAAAGATATTAGCTCTTTGTTCCTTAGCCTCTTAATAATGGCATAACGGTAAACCTAGACACATGCATCTTATAGTATTCCTAGTGGTGAAGCAAGGCTCACAACCTTGACTATACCCACTGGATACAACTATGGGGCTATAGCATTTACATAATAATGGAGTCAGATTGATAAATATAGTTTATTATTACTCAACATAATTTTTACACATCTACATAATGGAGACCCCTCATCCTCAGTCGATGGGGTTTCCACCAACCTACATAATGGTTGGATAATTTCCACCAAACTAAATGATGACTCATCCAGAATGATGGTGATTTTCTATATTACACTACAATTGGCCTCTATGTCTTGCTTTTCTATCAAGGTTATCAGTTTACTGTAAAGGCCTATTAACCAAGTTTTCAAAACCAATAACAGAGACAAGATTAAAAGATAATACATATTATAAACTGGGTGGTTCGAGCCCTGAATGCTGATTGGCTGAAAGCCATGGTATAACAGACGGTTTACAAGGGGTATTACAAAAATATTATTTTTACTGCTCTAATTATGTTGGTAACCAGTTTATAATAGCAATGAGGCACTTCGGGGGTTTGTTATATATGGCCAATATACCACGGCTACGGGCTGTGTCCAGGCACTCCGCGTTGCGTCGACCATAAGAACATCCCTTAGCCGTGGTATATTGGCCATATACCACACCCCTTCGGGCCTTATTGCTTAAATATAGAGGCGTGTTGATTATCGATCAAGGTCAGCAAATGCATTTTCTGCAGAGATTAAAATGTATTACGTAGTAATTTTCTCTCTGATAACTGATATAAAACCTACTCTCACATGCCATTGTGACAAAGCGTATTCACATTGCCCTCTAATAAGACTGCTTTACAGAATAAGCACACATAAACATCACAACTACTACCGTCTGACTGTTTTCTAAAATGGTGGCACGAAAAAAATGGTGGCATGAGAAAAAGTCATAGTTTAGTGTCACATCCACCACATATCCATGCATTGCCAGATACTGTAATGCCAGGTATTTCTGAAGTGGAAGTAGTGTATCCTTTAATTATCTTTCATACTGGCTTAAGGAAGCCATCATTTTAAGATTTAATGTAATGCAATTACTGCTACTAACTATATGTTGCATATCTATGGCTATAACTGTCCAATGTGACTTTAAGTTCACAGGCACTATCACATGATCAAAACGCCACCAATAGTGCACCGTTCCGGTTCCAGGCACATTTGGCATAACCTCTTTGCTGTCACAAAACAGACTCTGTCATTCCTGACTCGCAAAAGACGCAGGGGACATTAACACAAAATGTTCCTTCAGATGTGAAGTCAAAAGATAATTGTACCCTTCAATTATTTGGTTATTGAACCACTTGTTGTCATTGCTTAATATGTTATAATCCTCTTTAATAAGTGGAGATAGAAGAGTTTAGGTTGTCTTTGGAATTAGAAGTTTAGACACAGATGAGTCATTATTTGTGCATTTGTCAGAGCACAGATGACTTTTGTCTTTTTAAAGGAAATGTAGTACTTTTTCACTGTGTTTCTTTTCGTATGATACCAGATAGAACACAACTTGCATCAGGAATTATTGGGCCTTCTCTAAGGTAAAGCCCACACTTGATACTTGAGTGCAGTCTATATATACCAGAGCTTGCCATGTAGTGTGTACGATTTCCCAAATGGGTAATTTTCTGAAAATGCTATAATACTAGATAATTCAAAGAGGTGTACGTTATATATGAAGGAAAGATTCAAGCTCTTGGGTAAACAGCTCTCTGCTGGCCTGTCTATCTTCACAAGTAATGTCTTTGGAACATGGATGACATTAAAGCTTGACCGCTGAAAGTTGTTAGCAGTATCACATGTTTTACAAATCTTGTTTTCTTGGGATGCTTGCAGTGAAAGGAATTCTTTGATGCCTCTTTCTGAAATATACCTTGGTTGAACTATTCATTTTTTTACCCTGGCTATTCATGGCTTTCTTGCACTGACTGCAATTTTGAGAGCATAAACTGTGAATTTGGAGGAGATCATTGGCTAAGAAATTTGCAGGTAGCATTTCCTTTACAAAATATTCTACAATGTCACACATATTGCTGTTTTGAAGCCTCTGTTGAAACAATGGTGGTGTAGTCTGTTCTGTTTTCACTGCATCTGTGAAATGACTTTGCTGAATTGCTGATTTGGACTCATACTGTTTGTTTTAAGTAATCTTTTGCGACATTCTTATATGTTTTCTTCAGAAATGTCACAACAGGAAAGGCTTTACCCTCAAGCTGATTGGGGAAATAGTTAACATCAATATCTGAATCTGACTCACAGGACTGTACTTGCTCACTGATATCAGAGATTCTGTAACGGCCCTCATTACATAATTCATAAAAATATATAACTCCTGCTGTGTCCTGAATGTTTGTAGATTCTATAGAGATCATCTCTATGGAGACCATCTTCATCCTAAAAGAGTCAAATATAAGATGTGCCTAGTAATGTCTTTCTTTGGCATTTATCTCTGAATGACAGATTACTCAGCTCAATCTGTACTTCAACCTCTCATTGCCAACTGCTGAAAGATCAATAAAGCAAGATGGGGATACAGGGTTTCACATTACAGTGGCGACTTTTGACCTTACATGAGAAACATAAAGTACAAGAATATCTAAGAATATCTGGAGTGCTGGTCCAAATAGTTTGTCTACTGAGTACTGCTTCACATTTACTGCATGTGTGTGATGTGTGATCCCTTTGCAATCATTTGTATGAAAAACCATTACCATCACCATTAGGTTAATCTAGGTCGTTAACAGGTATGCCAGTCCATCATTGTTTACATTGTGTCTGTGTCTTTGTTTACATTTTATTTCACACTGGAAGCAAACAAGCAGTTTCCTCTTTACAAGCCAATTACAGTGCATTGCATTGGGGGCTACAGAGGGGGTGGAGAACGAAGTGCTGCTGGGTATGTATGGCACAGTCCCCCTCCAAAACGATATTCTCAACATAGGTGTGTCAACATTGTATTTTTTCATTACTGGTCAAATATTTTTGTATTTGTTTTCATAAATTGCTTATTGCATTTTCTTGTTGGCACAATAAAAGTGCCCATTGATTAAAATGCAATATCATTTGAATGAGTTATCCACATTGAAATGTTTTGAAATGCGGACTTTTATTTTGAAGGTTTCCTTATTACAATATGAAAGTGACGTCATCGTCTGAGCTGCTGGCATAATACTGGTGCGTGTACTTATGTCAGTACTATATTGACATAAACAGCGGCTGTTCTTGACCAAGCATATGTAAAGCAATTCTGCGTGAATATACGCAAAGGTAAGCAGATGATTCCAATATCGAATGTTGCCATTTTGATAAATCCATCGTGCGTGTGTAATACCGCACAGTGGTGTTTTGATGTTGTCTAAGGAGCCGGGCAACATTTTGCAACATGGAAACATTTTATCCAAGCTAACAATGGCCTATACTCTGCAAGTATCCTACGCAATGATTCACATCAATAACTTGACACCAAATAAAAATACAACAGAATATCGGAGCAAATACGCAACAATGTATTCGTGAGTTTTGGATTAAAATGGCAGGCGGGCGAACGACTTTCTCTGGAAGGAACATGGTGTACGGTGTAGCATAATGGTGGTCTGCACATCAGCACAGTATCCCGGCCATAGGCGCTCAATGTGTAGCAGGAGCAGAAGAGAAGGTGCGATGTGTTGTCCGGACTAGGCTACATACTTTTGGTCCAGACGAAACTTTGGTCAGAACAAGTGTCTTGTTTGACAATAATTGTTTCAAACAAGCATGAATTACATAAATGGTGCACACTTGATAAGAGCTTTTGGGGAGTTGGTGTAAACTGGTCTAAACAATGCAAAAATAATCTATGCAAAAATGTAATAGGAGAATGGTAGCCTGTGTACAACCTAAATTGGCTTTAAAACCTGTATTTACATGGTAATGACATAGGCAGGTACGTTGTTATTTACATTTTACTTTTTACATTTTAGTCATTTAGCAGACGCTCTTATCCAGAGCGATTTACAGTTAGTGAGTGCATACATCATTTTTTATACTGGCCCCCCGTGGGAATCGGACCCACAACCCTGGCGTTGCAAACGCCATGCTCTACCAACTGAGCTACATCCCTGTTGTTATAGTACAGAAGTAGTATAAAACAATTTTTGTAAACTGACCATAACTACCATGTAAATATCAAATGAATATGTGGCATGAATTTACACTACCAACCACACCTACTTATTAGATCTTAAATGTTTTATTCACAGAAAGCTCTAGTGATGGGGAACTCACACTCTCACTTGTGGAAGGGGAAAGACTACCATGACAGTCAGAGTGACCTGACCACTGGTCCAGAGTACATAGATACAAAGAGTGAAGAGGATGGAAAGAATGGAGATGTGTCTCAGTTCCCCTATGTGGAATTTACTGGCAGAGACAGTGTCACATGCCCCACATGCCAGGGCACTGGCAGAATACCACGGGGTAAGGGGATAAACACAAAACAAATACATTCCTACACAGTAATAAACATGAATTCTCACTCACTGACACAATACACACCTACATCTGTAGTAAAACTCCCTCTCATGAGCTGCTAATAATTTGGCCTAATTTGCATTTTGACTTGATATGCAAAACCGGAAACTAGGCCACCTAGAAACACTGTGACTTCCAACGTTCACTGAAAATGGAAAATCCAAAATCAGTTTCCTCTGTAAATGGCTTTGTCATCACATCTCTAATGCAGGTCAAGAGAACCAGCTTGTGGCTCTGATTCCATACAGTGACCAGAGGCTCCAACCAAGGAGAACGTAAGTCTCTCATCTCACTCAGCCAGATGTCTCTTTATTGAAAGATGTGCAATTGAATGATTCAACTGTGGTTGACTGTGGTCTATGTCCAACTTCTCTCTTTCTTTTAATGGCGCTTCCTTCCTTGTTCTTGCAGAAAGCTGTATGTCACTGTGTCCGTGTCTCTTTGCCTTCTGCTGTCTGGCCTGGCCGTGTTTTTCCTGTTCCCTCGTTCTATCGACGTCTCCTATGTGGGGGTGAAGTCTTCCTTCGTCTCCTATGACCAGGACAAACGGATTGTCTATCTCAATATCACAGTAAGATCCTCTCTCTGGTGTTAGTTGACCTTCTTGTGTTTCCATCTAAGGGTTGACATGGATTCATTCCCAAAAATGCAGAGAGAAAAATAGAAAAACAATAGACAGACAATAACACGAGGAATAAATACACCATGAGTAACAGTAACTTGGCTATATACACGGGGTACCAGCACCAAGTCGATGTGCAGAGGGACGAGGTAATTGAGGTAGATATGCACATATAGGTAGGGGCAAGTGACGAGGCAACAGGATAGATAATAAACAGTAGCAGCAGCATATGTGATGAGTCAAAAGAGTGCAAAAAGGGGCAATGCAGATAGTCCTGGTAGCTATTTGGTTAACAATTTAGCAGTCTTAAGGCTTGGGGGTAGAAGCTGTTCAGGGTCCTGTTGGTTCGAGACTTGGTGCTTCGGTACCGCTTGCCGTGCGGTAGCAGAGAGAACTGTCTATGGCTTGGGTGGCTGGAGTCTTTTACAATTTGTAGGGCCTTCTCTGACACCGCCTGGTATGGAGGTCCTGGATGGCAGGGAGCTCGCCCCCAGTGATGTACTGGGCCGTACGCACTACCCTCTGTAGCGCCTTGCGGTTGGATGCCAAGCAGTTGCCATAGCAAGCAGTGATGCAGCCAGTCAAGATGCTCTCAATGCCACAGCTGTAGAACCTTTTGAGGATCTGAGGGCCCATGCCAAATCTTTTCAGCCTCCTGAGGGGGGAGAGGTGTTGTCGTGCCTTCTTCACAACTGTTGGTGTGTGTGGACCATGTTAATTCCTTAGTGATGTGGACACCGAGGAACTTGAAGCTCTCGGCCCGCTCCACTACAGCCCCATAAATGTGGATTGGGGCGTGCTCGGCCCTCCATTTCCTTTAGTCCACGATCAGCTCCTTTGTCTTGCTGACATTGAGGGAGAGTTTGCTGTCCTGGCACCACACTACCAGGTCACTGACCTCCTCCCTATAGGATGTCTCGTCGTCGGTGTTCAGGCCTACAACCGTTGTGTCGTCAGCAAACTTAATGATGGTGTTGGAGTCGTGTGCGGTCATGCAGTCGTGGGTGAACAGGGTGTACAGGAGGGAAATAAGCACGCACCCCTGAGGGGCCCCCATGTTGAGGGTCAGCGTGGTGAATGTGTTGTTGCCTACCCTCACCACCTGGGAAATACTTTTTTTTAAACCTGGGGGCAGCCTGTCAGGAAGTTCAGGATCCAGTTACAGAGGGAGGTGTTCAGTCCCAGAGTGCTGAGCTTAGTGATGAGCTTGGAGGGTACTATGGTGTTGAACGCTGAGCTGTAGTCAATTAACAGCATTCTCGCATAGCTGTTCTTCTTGTCCATGTGGGAGAGGGCAGTGTGGAGTGCAATAGAGATTGTGTCATCTGTGGATCTGTTGGGACGGTATGCAAATTGGAGTGGGTCCAACGTAATGACTCTCTTTCCAACAACTGTTGTGCCGTATGTCTTTTCTTCTAGAACACTCTGAACATCACCAATAACAACTACTACGCTGTATCCCTGACCAACATCACAGCCCAAGTGCAGTTCTCTAAGACGGTGATTGGGAAGGCCCGTATTAGCAATGTGACGACCATCATACCACTGGATAAACAGCAGGTGGGTCTTTACCATGTGTATTTTAGAATAACATGCCTTGGTATAACTGCTTGTTATTAACATATTACAGTGAATGAAGTGAGCATAGCTTGACAAGTGCATCAAAGTTGTACTTTCATCTTTTGATCCAGATGTCCTTAAGTTCTTTTCTCTAAGTCAACACAGCAGCTCATTGTTCCACCCACTTTCCTGCAAAATCTAGCAACAAAATAAGGCAAAATTGATAATGAACCTTGTTGTTGAACCCACTAGAACACCTGTCCCTGTTCTGAGGGCATCAGTAGCAGCAAGGATGGAATAAGGATCGTATTTATGGACTGTTGCCCTCAAAAGTTACTCGTTACTTAGTTAGTCAGGACTCAACCGCCCTGCGTCAATATGGGAGAGAGATAACAGCTGCATTACAACATATTGTTCATTTCAGATTGACTACACGGTTCCCACAGTCATTGCTGATGAGATGAGTTATATGTTGTAAGTATTTATTTTAAGTATTTCACAAGTAATTACATTTTATTGTGTGTTTGACAGTACAAATCGTGACATTTCTTTAATAAAAGTTTTGTGTTGCAGCGACTATTGCACCCTGAAGTCCATAAAGGTTCACAACATTGTGGTCATGATGCAGTAAGTATACCTTTAAAAAAAATCTCTACTAATACATTGAGTTTACACATGTTACTATACCTACTCTATTTCTTTTGTCAAACATCACATGCCCATGTGGGCAGCCATTTTGGGGAAACTGACCTGTCTATTGGCTGGTTTTCAGGGTGACTGTGACCACGTCCTACTTTGGGCACTCAGAACAGGTCTCCCAGGAGATTTACCAGTATGTGGACTGTGGGGGCAACACCACCTCACTGCATGGACATGTGAAGGTGTATCAGTAAGGCAGTAAAAACACAGCCAAAATGGAAACCCATCTATCTAAAGGTAGACTAAAGGGTTTAACGAAGTTCCTTTGGGCACATGTCTACTGTAGAATAGGAGGAACCATGACTCAGAGAAAGTGAAGTTTACAAGGTGCCAATGTACAGTTTCATGAGAGTTTGATGATGTTGCAGGTAGAAAATATATTGTGCAAATTCTTCCTAATAGAATGATCCAATCCAATGTGTACAGGCATTTGAGATGAAGATGCACTTTAGCTTTGTATGGGAAACGCAATCATAAGAAAGTATTTATACAGCAGAGTTGTTGATGTAATGTAACCTGTACCACTAACCTTCCCAGACCACTAGGTATGGGACATGCAATACAAATAAAGTAATCTGACAGAATCATCGTTTTGATTATCACCACCACTAATCACCCCAAACCACTTTTGCATGGCCTTTTTCCCCATAATTTTTTGTACCAGCCATTTTGTTTTCTTCAAGGATGTATTGTTTTGTACATAATAGTACTTCCTGATGTGTGTCGTTACTATTTCATTTTCATTCTAATGATAGTTAGATTTAGATCTAATTCTGAGGTGACATATCATGTAGGGGTGAAGTCAGCGTAATTATGATGACTACTGGACCTGGTAGTTTATTTTAACGGTAATTAGATTGCAACATAGGAGGAATCTCGTATTTTTATATCATTCAAATACAGTACCTATAATGATTAGATGTGTTGTTTATGATGTGAATTACTCTTTAATTGTAAACCTCTGAATTGTTTGTAGGTTACCTATTTCGAAATATGATATTACATAAATACCCTCAATGGTGTTGTAAAACTAGGTTTTTATTTTATCTTTGGAAATCGATTTTAAGAGGTCATTTTGTATCTTAATTTTTTTATTTGATGCCCTTTGCCCCTTTCAATTTGTCATTGTTGATCACTGAAACTTGCAAGTAAGTTGTTCTTTTCGAGTTTGGGTGTCTTTCTGAGATTATTAAATGTCAGGATACAGTAAGTATCCATTTGTTATATTCCTTAAACATTTGTTGTAGCTTTTCAAGTCTATTGTGCAGGTAGTGGGTTCGATCCCCGGGACCACCCATACACAAAAATGTATGCACGCATGACTGTAAGTCGCTTTGGATAAAAGCGTCTGCTAAATGGCATATTATTATTGTTATTATTATGTACAGAAGACTGAACTGAGGACAATAAAAATGCCCAAGATAAAATATCAGATGCGTACATTGTTTAAAGTTTGATCTGATATACTCTATGGAGGAACTGCTCTGTGGAGGAACAATCACACCAATATACTGTTGGATATTTCAAAGTGCCATATTATGTCCCAAATCAATCAAGAAGAAAACTTTCATCAGCTTAAAGTCAGTTCTGAATCCTCACTGAGGTGTGTTTACTGTGTACATGTGGATACTGTCCATGTAAGCCACTGCCAATCATACAGTACATGTAACAATGTTTTTTCCTTGCATGAAACTGGGAATAAAAGTGTGGTTGAATTTGGAAGTTTTTGTTTGATGCATTTATTGATAGTTAGTAGTTTGTAGTTGGGGGAGAATTCAAAGGAAAGAGAAATGTGCAATACTGGTCACTATCACAGGGTGGCGCCTAATTTAATGACATTAACTTAGAAATGAGTAAGTGTAGGATGACAATATAGTTTCTATAATGACCATATGCACAGGTTTGCATACAAATCTTACCTTACATAACTCACTATTACGTTTAAATAATTAACAACACAATGTATGCCATTCATGTGTAAAACACACCAAGTCAAATATTTAGCATCTTAAAAATAGCATGACCTTACATTTAAAGTCGCACAGAATAGACAGGCTTAAGTATGTTTGACAAGGTGCTCTAGTGAACAAATGTGTTACTTTTATTCTAAATGGACAACATACAGCATGTGTTTTCTGTCATAACGTATTGTGTCAATGTGCTACTCTGTTCTACAAGATCCTAAACAGGTTTGTATGCTGTATTGTCATGCATCTGCTAGTACTGTATGACCTTTGAATTTATTTGTAGACTGTTCTGGATGTGTGTCAGTGTGTTACTTTGTTTGCTCCAGATGCTCACCGGTGCTTGAGTGTCTCCAGTGTGTAACGGTATGCTTACCTCACATCTGTTGCTGTCGTTTAAACGGCAGTTGACTTCCCCTCCAGGATTCAGGTCAGGGGCTTGGAGAAGTTCCTAATTGACCAAAGCCCAGTTTCCCAAAAGCATCTTAAAGCGATAGTTCACCCAAATTACAAAATGACACATTGGTTTCCTTACCCTGTAAGCAGTCTATGGACAAGGTATGAAAGCAATCCATAATTTGGTTTAGTTTCCCTGGCACTGTTTTCACGTGCTAACGTTTTAGCATTTGTGGTACAAATCCCATTCAAGTCATGGGACCAATATTATCATTTTTCGCGCACCATGTCCAAATCATCCCAAAGTATCTGAAATTGATTGTAAAGCTCAACAAAGTCACCTATATATGTTTTGAACATGATGCGCGAAAAATGCTAATATTGGTCCAATGACTTGAATGGGATTCGTGCTTCAATGGTTTCCCAAAACCATTGTTAATAAAGTTGCACTTGAAAACACGTTATTTACCGACTGCCTCAGACCACTCGTAGAACAGCTAAGTGCGTCGTTAGATGCCTTTTTGCCCTTACGCGTCACTTTATACACAGAAGATCTCCACTAAACATAAAATCAAGATGTTTATCCACCTCTGTGACCACAGATAACTTCAGAACAAAGCTGAATATAAATACAAAGTTGCCAATGGCTTTGCAATTGTTACAAACAAGCGAAGGATAAAAATATGCTTCGAAAGGACAACCGAGATGACTGCATTAAAATATAAATACAGTATATGCTACATATATCTATGTATTTCAATCATATTGAAATGAAGTTCATGTTCTATCAATTGAGTTCTATTTTGCTAATTGAAGGCTACTGTCTCTAATATTTGCCTCAATATATCTCATGATGTGTAACAACATGTTCGCGATGATGTGCCAAATCTGTGATTTAGTGCATTATTATAGGGTAAGCATTAGAATGAGCTGCCTTAAATATTTGCAGACGTAGGTGATAATATCTCTCTAGGACAGGGGTGTCAAACGTACGGCCCGCGGGCCGGATCAGGCCCGCAAACGGGTTTAATCCGGCCCGCGAGATGATTTTGGGAAAAAATATATATATATATATATATATATATATATATATATATATATATATATTTTTTTTGGTAAAGTATAAAAATGCGCTGCAATTTTTCTATAAAATAAACTGCTGTTCCAATTGCGTCCAATGGATGGCGCAATAGCAATTGTGTTAAGCAAGCAAACTGTTTATACCGGGGCAGAGCAAGTAGGTCAAGCACGTGCAGCCAATGAGCTACTTTGTTTTGCCCGCGATATTTATTACGGCTTCTACTTTTAACATTATGTGCTTTGGCACCCTCATTGCCCCAATATGTCTCTGTCAAAAAATAGAAAAGTGGACGCAGAGTGCAGAGTGTTCCAAGAAAAATGGTAATCCTATTTAATCACGGAATTGAATGGGAAAGCTGTATGTTTGGTGTGTTCAGAGCATGTTGCAGTGCTGAAAGAATATAACCTTCGTCGCCACTATGTGAGTCTTCATGCCGACAAATATGACAACTTTCAAGGACAGCGGAGATGAGAGAAGGTGAATGAACTGTTGGCGGGTCTGAAGAAACAGCAGTCTGTGTTTACTCACAGCCGAGACATCAGTGACGCTGCAGTGAAAGCTAGCTACCTCATTGCTAATGAAATCGCAGTGGCTTCAAAACCATTTAGTGAGGGTGAATTTGTAAAAACATGCATGATGAAGGCAGCGGAGATTGTGTGCCCTGAAAAGCGGCAGGCTTTTGCAAATATCAGCCTGACAAGAAACACAGTTGCAGACAGGATTTCCGATCTTTCGGTGGATTTGGACAGCCAGTTGAAGCAAAAAGTAAAGTCATTTATTGCGTTTTCGGTTGCAATTGATGAAAGCACGGACATTACAGATGTTGCACAACTGGCCATTTTTTCATCCGCGGAGTTGATGACACATTGACCGTCACCGAGGAGTTCGTGGAGTTGGTGCCGATGACAGATACAACGACAGCAGCTGATATTTTTACCGCACTTGTCGGCACGCTGGACAGGGTCGGAGTGGACTGGTCCCACGCTGTCAGCCTGGCTACAGATGGTGCGCCCTCAATGATCGGGAAAAAAGCAGGCGTTGTGACAAAGTTCAGAGAGAAAGTGCAATCTGCAAATGGAGGACGTGATTTTTTGACTTTTCACTGCATTTTGCACCAGGAGGCTTTGTGTTGCAAGTCATTAAAGATGGATAACGTCATGAAGGTGGTCATCCAAACTGTTAATTTCATCCGATCCAGAAGCCTGAATCACCGTCAGTTTGACAGCCTTCTCAGAGAGAAAGACCACATCTATGGCCTGCCATACCACACTGAGGTAAGATGGTTAAGCCGAGGTGCTGTGCTGAGGCGTTTCTTTGATTTACGAGAAGAAATTGAACAGTTCATGGAAGAAAAGGGCAAACCAGTGTTAGAATTTCATTCTGCAGAATGGATGCCGGACCTTGCATTTATGGTGGATGTTACAGAGCACCTGAATAACTTGAACAAACAGCTGCAAGGGCGCAACAAAGTTGTCACGCAGTATTATGACAGCATACGTTCTTTCAAGTTGAAGCTGTCATTGTGGGAGACGCAACTTGCCGGTGGTGATGCAGCTCACTTCCCCTGTCTGAAAAATGTGTGCGCGACCCAACATGTGGCAGACATGAAGCGGTTCAAAGATAAAATAACGGGACTGTTACGGGAGTTTGAGCAACGCTTTCAGATGTATGTTTATATGTTTTTATGTTGATGTGCTATTGTTTTTAATTGATTTTATTTTATTTGTATATTTAACCTATTCTTGACTCTGTGGTTCTTGCACTTGTTTGGGGAACAGGATTTTATTATTTTTATCTACATTTCTGCCTGAGAAATGACACCCTGATATAGTTCTGTGATCTGTGAAACAGTTCTGTTAATCACTGAGGCATTGTGTGTTTGTGTGTTCTTTGTCCTCAGAACTTTCAAATAACTTGAGGTGTTTTATGATTAATAGTGATGTTGTGCTTTTGGACACTGTCCTCAGGCTCCAGCTTTATGTTTATATGTTTTTATGTTGATGTGCTATTGTTTTTAATTGATTTTATTTTATTTGTATATTTAACCTATTCTTGACTCTGTGGTTCTTGCACTTGTTTGGGGAACAGGATTTCATTATTTTTATCTACATTTCTGCCTGAGAAATGACACCCTGATATAGTTCTGTGATCTGTGAAAGAGTTCTGTTAATCACTGAGGCATTGTGTGTTTGTGTGTTCTTTTTCTTTAGAATTTTCAAATAAACTTGACGTGTTTTATGATTAATAGTGATGTTGTGCTTGTACTATTTTGGACACACTGTCCTCAGGCTCCAGCTTATGTTGTATGTTGATCGTATTAAAACAAAGAAAACAATCTGAAGTTGTTGTTTTTAAGTTATATATACCATGATTTTTCCGGTCCGGCCCACTTGGGAATAGATTTTCCTCCATGTGGCCCCTGAGCTAAAATGAGTTTGACACCCCTGCTCTAGGAGCTGATCCATCGTCAGTATTGTGGACTGCTTCCAATGTTAAGGTAAGATTTGAATGGAGAAAGCTGATCAGAGAGCAGCGCTGCCTTTCTTTCAATCCTATCAGTATCGACACATGCTCCAATGACACACTTACTGATGGCTAAATCTATTTGGTGTTTTGGGAAACGCATGTGACATCTATTGAAACTAATGGCCAGGATTCTGAACTATTTGTAACAGTGTGCAGGCTACTGTGCTTCCTCAGCACGATCCAAGACATCTGGAAAATAAAGTAGACTTGAGTGAGGATGTGAATCTGGTTTCAGACTTTCACAGCTCTGGGTTAAGCAGTTCATGCAATGTTCACAAAATGGAGTTCTTGCGGAAATATGGTTGTTCTTCAGGGAGAAAAGGTGCAAATGGTGAAAGCAACATGATGCTTTTACTGCTATTGAGGAAGTACATTAGCCCATGGATGTATGGATGCCAGTGTATGGGTTGATGTTTTTAGACAACTGAACTCAGGCATGTAGCCTAGACAAACAACAAGGAATAGCCTAGTGTGTAAAATAATTCTCTAAATCCAATTGTGTGTCTACAAACAATGCTAAATATTAAAGCACACCGAAAAAGACATTTAGATACAGTTGAAGTCAGAAGTTTACATACACTTAGGTTGGAGTCATTAAAACTCTTGTTAACAAACTATAGTTTTGGCAAGTCGGTTAGGACATCTACTTTGTGCATGACACAAGTAATTTTTCCAACAATTGTTTACAGACAGATTATTTCACTTATAATTCACCGTATCATGATTCCAGTGGGTCAGAAGTTTACATACACTAAGTTGACTGTGC